TTAAAAGGAAGACTTCAACTAACAACAAATGGCGCCATAAGTTCCACCTTCACATTTTATATAGGAGATATTTAAACGCAAACTTTTGTTGGGGTCTCCTGGACCCCGGGTGTAGTTTAAGGGTTAGACTAGAAAGAGCCAGCGCTGACCGAAGCACGGCATATTATAATTATTTGTATTTAATTAGATTCATATTGGTTCCGTTTCAATTATTCACCTGAAGTAATGTTGAAAAATTACTAAGTGCTAAATGTAAACAAGAATCCACTTACTACAGGTAGACACAACCACTGGGTGAGCATGACGTTCGCTGTGGGCAGGCGTATTGAATACAACAGTCTGTACAGATCCCAGAGACGTGCCAATCCATAACGTCGGCATGCCGTTTGTATCTTAAAGAACCGATAAAATTATTATAAATGACTCACCGTGTAAACACGCGACTTCCAATATGATTGTCGTAAATGCGTCTGATAACACGACTAACGTGTTACAATACAATTTTAACTTGTTTTACTAACAATAAGACCGACAACGCGCAGTTTATTGAGTAGTCAACGCGCAGTTTATTGAGTCGCGCAACAAGTTGTAAAAGAAATTCAAACAGAAATATTGTTATTAGGCTACTAAGATCCAACCCGACCGAATAATGGCATCTTTTCCAATTAATTGCTTTCTTACTGTTTTCATCCTGATGGAAATGTTTTGCTGAAAGTACTGTGAAATTGATGAAAAGTGAAATAGTTATTGAAAAATTATTGAATGTATCTCACAAAATATATCATGATTTTCTTTGTGAAATTCAATGTAAAACTGTGAAAGAGTGAAATAGAAGGAAAATTCAAATACCATTGAAAAACAAAATATAAAATATTAGGTATCTATTATGAAATTTTTACTGAATTCAATTGAAAAGTTTTGAATGAAAAATTTTTGAAATAACGAAATAATAAAACGGAATCAATTGAGAGAGATATTTATTGTATTTTCAGTAAAATATTTCCACCGGAGCGATGTGTTTTTTTTTTAAGACGAGATCAGGAGGTAAATTCTGTATCTTATGCTACAGTGAAAATACTCAAAGTGAGTAGCTTTGTCTCTTTCTGTCTCCTTAGAAGAAGATAAAGCCGCTCATTTTTATAATTTTCACTATATTGTAGAGCACAGAATCGATACCCTTGTCCCCAAGAACGAATGAATGAATAATAACTTGAATTGTCAGGCTAGTGTTAATAAAAGGCACCGCGATACAAATGAAGTGCAAAGTTTACGCTGGCCTACGTACCGTTTTTTTTCGTATAAGAATCCGCAAATGTAAGGCAGCTTATGGTTTCTGTGGTGATGTTCTCGAGGGACGACATACTCGAGCTCCTTGATCGTTGGAAGGAGCCGTCGAATTTGTCTATTCGACCAGCGGTCCCAAAAGAAAATTATCGATTATTTATTGGGAGAGGGTGCGCCGCTTCTTTCCGGGCTACCAAGAGGCATGCACAACGACTACCGGAATTGTTTCTCGACACGTTTACATCGTCCTTTACGTAGTGTATATCGCAAAAGTGTAACTAGCGAAGTCAGAACACTTATCAGAGACAGCGCAGCTTCAAGAGGACAGTAATAATAATGATCGTGACGATGAGGATGCTGATTATGACAACGACGATGACGATGACAATAATAATAATAATAACAGCGACAGCAACAACAACTATCACGATTAAGATCTCCCGACTGCGGTGTGTTCACGTGTTAATTATCCTCCATACGCATCAAATTTATCAGGACGTACGAATATCAAGTCAATTGTAAAAAATGTATACACACAGATGCATACAAGGACACGCGCGCATTCACACGTATGTTACGTACACACGCACGCATGATGTGTCACGTCCGATTAGCGCAGGATCAGAAAGTATTGTTCGCAGACTAAGTCAATCTTGAATAAGTAAAGCTTTAGGTAGAGACGAGTGACACGAAGAGAAATCATCACTCTTGCATGCACGCGTAAAATATCTGGCCGATCACCGGATTACGTGGTGATGAAAGTGTCGTCGACGCCAATCAGGTTCCCCGTATAACGTAGGTAGGTATATAAACTACACAAAATCAACACAATCTTGCAGCCGAGTGCAATACTTCGAAGTCGAGACTCGTGTAAATGCTTGAGATAATACTTTTGTATAAATAATTTCGTAAAATAATCAAACGCGCGTCAGGTAATACATCGTATGTTCGAACCAATGTATTATCTATTACATAATACGTTATCTGATATTACATACGAGTTGGTTCTTGAATTCAATATACACGTAATTGTCTTACTGCATATATAGAACGTCCCAAAATTCATAATTAACACCTTTGAGAGGTCAATTAAGAAAGAGAATAAAATTCTGAGTCAACAGTTCTTGCGTTACTTTTCCCTCTGGTTATTATTCACCGAGGGATAAACCGCTGAGGGCACTGTCCCATACAGCACAGATGGTTGCAGTTACATTGCAGAAACGTTGCAATCTTGCAGAGACATTGCAGGGATATAAAATTGCAAACTTTCGATAGCAATATTGCAGCAATGTTTGAAAAATAATAAAAATACTATATTTTCTATTAAAAAAATTTTTCTAATTACGAGAATTTTATAATGTTATTATATTTTCGTTGATACCAATAATGCGCGAATTATTAAGTACTTGATCAGTGCGGTGTTGCTCGCAATCTCCATCTATTGCGAAGCGACATAATCTCCTTAGGTTGCTTTGCAATAGCTTGCTGTGTATTGAAAAAGGCCCGGATGCATATGTAATTAGTAAATTCTCTGCTTATGTACAACAACAACAAATTATTCCAAAAATATTGCGCTGCAACATTGCTATATGTTGCACTGCAATCTCTCTGAGGGCGGACATTTCAACGTTGCTGCAATCCTCCAGAAACGTTGCAGCAATGTTGCGCAACGTTGCTGCAATATTGCAATCTTGCAATGTAACATTTCTGCAATCTTCCTGCAATCTTTCTGTGCTGTGTGGGGTGGTGTACAAATTTACGACATTACTGGGCATTACTAGACATTTTTTGGGCATTAGGCTCTGCTGGGGCATTATAAAGATAAAATGAGATAAAAATTGGTCAGCGGTTTTCCCCTCGTTATTCACCGAGTTATTTAACAATTAAGTCGATCAATTTCGTGCAATGCAGCTCGGGCGACGAACGCCCATACTTTTAAAATTCATGACTAACATAGTAATTTATTTAAAAATAAAAAATAAAATAATATGGAGAGACACGGGCGTTGAGTGAGGCGTCCGGTTTGCGCCAGTACCGATCGGCTTAATTGTTAAATAAGACCTCGGAATAATGACCGGAGAGAAATGTGACGGAGGAACTTTTGCCTTGGAAATTTACTCTCTTTTACCCCGAACCAGGTAAAAGTTATGAATTTTAGGAGAGTCTAATACATGTACAGGGTGAATCATTAAAGCTGTCCCAACCTTTTACCATGAGAGTTGCATTACCGACTGCAACTGTAGCCAACTCTGGAAAAAATTGAAAAAAAATTGTTATACTTATGTCTCAATCATGTAAAACCTAATTGTATCTTGAGAGATGTAATTAAATATTATATGATTGAAACATATGTAACGAAGGTTTTTCCATTGTTTCCCGGGTTGGCTACAGTTTCGGTCGGCAATCCATCCCTCACGATAAAGGTTGGAACGGCCTTAATGATTCACTCTGTATAATGAATGTAGCAGTATTATTATAGAAATTATTGCTTCTACCCGTCCCACAAATTTAAATTAAAATAGTATTTAAAATGAAACATTTGGAATACTACGAAAACGAACACGAATAAAATAAAGTTAATTTTCCAAGATAAAATTTAGATCTGAGATTTTATTGAAAATATGGCTCTGAGAAAATGATAAATAAATTAGCACGTGGCGCGATATCGGAGTGGCGTCAGAGTCGATTTTAGAGGAGTTGCGGAGTGAGAATTGTCCTAGTTTTCGTGTGACAACACGATAGAAGATAACATTAATATGCGAAATGATTGTTTCACAAATGCGGACAGAACGATAAGCTTTATGGTAAAGACATGTGTTGTTCGAGACGAGAAGATGTTAACCGGTGATACTCGGTCCCTCCGATATGTCTGCACATTCACCGTGCACGGTCCATCCTGTTTATCAGTATATTCGCATTAGGTGCATCTTAGATTGTGCATCGAGCTGAGAAGTAACTATCTGAGAGATGCAACGTTATAGACCACATCTATAAAAGAAGCAGAAATCAAAAGATTTGCCGCGTAGGCGAAAACGAAAAGAGCAGGAAAGAGCGTCTCCTTTCGAGGGTGCAGTGTGACAACTAGAGATCACGCAGTCTAGACGGTGTGCCATTTCGTGTTTATTTAGAAAAGTTCCACTAAAGAGAGCATATACAAGTCAGAAAGAAAGAGATGCATCGTAGAACTACCGGAGTCACTTTCACACTCAGATCAGGTAAAGACCAGACAGTATTTATCGAGTCTAAGACAATAGTAAAACATATGTCGTGCTGGGAGGATCTCGGGAACAACGTTGCTTATGTTCAACAAATCAACTTAATCGCGAAAAAAGGAAACATGCTGTTAAACATGTTAAAAAGTTAGAAGCTGCAAATCAGCTTCGAGATCGACCCGACGTTTATTTCGCACAGCGAGAGGGAGAATTTTAAGTGTCGTAGAAATAGATGTCGAAGAATTAACTAATGCCGTAGAAGAATAAATGTACACGAATCTTACTCACGCGAGGGGGGCCAAAAAATTTAAGTAACGAAATCAAATTACTTTTAACTTTTCGAATCACACGTAATCTAACATGTAGCAACGTTGCGCGGAGATCCGTGTTCTCCGAGCCTGAAAAAAATTCGATCCGAGAAGAATCGGCTCTATGATCACAATGTAATTAAACTAAAGGTCAAGCGATCGGAGAGAAACAGTTTTCCCATTCGGTGTCAGAGAGAAAGAAAGAAAGAAAGAAAGAGAGAAAGTGAGAGAGAGAGGGGAAGAAAGAGAGAGAAAGAGAGCAACGTATCGGCAGTCTACGTAGTCAGTCCATACATAAATAAAGTTACAGCGGGCTGTATTCGGTAATACTACCAAAGCTGCTATACTGTCTGGTGTTGGTGAGGATATTCTGGTAGTTCAATGACGCTTGAGGGACGGCTGAGGGGTAGCTTCTCATCTCCGTGCTACGCTGAGCGTAGAATAGCGAGACGGTCGGAAAAGCGGCGGCAGCACCCGTGGCGGGGTCCACCTCGAAGTGGCTGGTAGTGGTGCTCAGACACTTCTGGAGCTTCCGTATACCTTGAGCGCGCGGGTGACGTTGATCTAACGTGACACCCTTGCGAGACACCGTATTAATTTCATCGTCGGTGCCGCTGATAATCACGCCGGCGGCGGCACCACGTATACCTGAGCGAATCATGTTAACACCACCAGCACTAGAGCTTCCACCACCGTCACTATTGTAGGCGCCGTTGCTGCCGCTGCCACCGGCGCTACAACCATCACCATTATCACCATTGTCACCTCTCTCACCTTTCTCACCACCAACACCCACTGTACTTCTTCCCGCCACCGGCAATACGCACATCCCGTTCATCTACAAATCAGGCGACAAGTCAAACGTGAAGGAAACATACGACTCGCTCGTTGCTTTTGTTTGTAAGGCAAATTTGTGTGCGGACTGTGAGCTCTTTGAACGTGGAAAATGTGAGCGCGGATCTTCTATCAAGCTTCCGTCCAAACGGAATAATAAAAGTAATGTGAAAAATTGATTTCCATGTTTCTTTTGTAATTTCCACTTGCCAGATCGTTGCGTGAAACAAATGTTATATTTGCACATGATTTTATTCGTTAGATTTACTCTCTATAAAATGTAATATAACGCGCGTCACAACTGTCGCGGCTCGTTTTGAATGCAATGTGCAATGAAAAATACTTTCGTTAAAACGTTGATTAGAGAGGAAGTAAATTGAATAAAAATGATCGTATAAAAGCTTAATAGAAATATTGAAAATATTAAATACCAAGTAATATCAAATGAAATAGCGCAGAAGTTTGTTACCTGTATCGTGTTTAAGAATATTTAAGCAAATTTATTTAATTATTGCAATTAACATCGGTGCAAAATGAGACAAAACGTGAGTCGTCTAAGACGTTTTCCATAAATTTTCTTTATACATTTAAATTTGAATTCCCACCCGAAAGTCGAAGACCATCAAACTGTAAATAATGAATAACGTAACGACGAGAAACTAAACCGACAAGCCCGAGACTCGCTGGCGGGGGAAAAATGTTGATCGACAAAACGATCGCTTTCTCTCCTGCTTGCCTCGACTGTTAAATGACGCATACATGCGAAGACGTTTCGACAAAGAAATCTTATTTGCCTGTTCGCTGGAAGGCACGTCGTTCGCTAGCAACGACACCAAATGCATCCTAAGCAGATGCCGCGTGCGACACCACTTGGGGAACGGCGGCTCGTCAGATCGGCGTAGCGTGATGAAAGTTGACACAGGCATTTGCGTGTGACACAATCGCAGCCTATCGGAAGTTTCATTAGACGAGAAAATGAGAAAATCGAGACCACTCTTTCACCTCGCGCTCCGGAAACGAATGACAAGAGACTCCTCGATAACGGACGGATCGAAAACACTTCCGCTCGGTTCGATTGGACCTTGCTACGATCCTTATCCGAGACTCGTCGAGCAAGTTCGATACAATAGTTGATTGTTGCTGTCCGCACCGGGGCTGACATTACGGAGGATCTCGCAGGAGGAAAGTGTAACGACAAACACCTGCTCGTGTCGCACACCTCGTGCCTGGTTGCTCGCTATGTGGAATATCAGCATATTATGCAGAGTCCTCTATAGCAGTCAGTCAATGTCGAGATAAAAATTGGAAATAAAATCGGGAGTGGTACATTTCCACAGAGTGTCTTGCCAGGAGCATATTGGTACAACGCGCGCCCTAATGCAATTGAATAAACGATAAAGATGACCCCCTTGTCTCGTTGTCATCGACGATGCCACGACCATCAGTGTTGTTATTATTATTACTATTGCTATTTGCGTGCAAACCATCGAAAAAATTTCCAAAAGCTTTGAAAGCAATGTTGTACCGAGAGAAAGGTGTCTGGATAGTATAAGAGTTGGAAAATGAGAAACGGGAGAAATCACTAGTGATTCTACTTGTAGACTCGAAGGCAATCGTGTGGATGTTAATAGTTCACGAATAAGAATCCGATTTCTTGACTATAGCCATGACCGAGCTATAGGACGACAAGAAGCTTCTCTGCCTCTTTAATTTGTAACGTGTACTCGTACATCTTGACTGAGATCTTGGTACTCAAGGAGTGTACTTTTCTCTCGGTGATAAGAACAACTGCCAAAATATGAAAAACCTTGTTTTTACCTGAATCGACCTTGCTGTCGGGGAAGACCGCAAAATTGATTTGAACCTGAAAAAGTGTTAAAGTAGAATCTCTTCAAATTCGTATTTGCAGTGTAAAATTGTGAGTGAGGGACTTGGACGCCGGTACGAACAGGGTCGTGTCGTCTCCTGTCGACATTTCCGCGAGGGTGAAGGGGGGGCTAGGTGGGGAGAGAGGGGTCTTTCCCACATCTTGCGAGCATAAGAGTAGTGTTTACAAAGTAGCCATAAAACTTGGAGCGGAGTTGACACAAATGGGTACCAAGACCAAACGGGAGGCGATGCACTTTCAAAATGTCTACTATGCATTCCAGGTACTGGTTAACCTAGGGGAGTGGGAATATCTAGAAATCTTAAGTATATACAGCTTTTTCCCAACCTATTAACCTATCGATCATCAGAGCGGATAAGTTGCAAACTAAGAGTGACTCGGCTTAGGATAAATGGCTTTTTAAGAAAAGGCAGTCGATGCAGTTTAGTGAAGCGTTGACATCCTTTAAAATGTATTCTTCTGAAAATAGTATGTCAGAAACACATTTTTACGGATTATTAATTTAACATGTACTAAGGTGGACGTGTGTTTACGCCGCGAGAAACTTTGCCCGTACATCGTGGACGTAATTTATCGCCTGGTCTGTCACAATAAGTAAACTCATAGCTCTGCCTTCACAGTTAGACCAACGAGACTTGCAACGCTAACGCTAAATTACAACACCGTGTTTGTTATTTAAACGTAGATAGACCGCAAAACTCTTTGAAGCTTAGAATGTAATAGGCACTCTCTGATCCAAATCAGGAATGCATTTTAAAGAATTATCACTTTCAACAAAATCGCGGGTATTGTATTGTCTTCTAGCGGGGAATTGTCTGCACTCTTCTATAAATTACAAGGCCTTTCCTTCATAATCGAAGAAACGTCGACACACTTCGGACGTACCTAATTGTAATGCATCGGTGAACTTATTGACTGACCATTATATTAGACTCTACATTATGCGTAATCAGATTTCACAGCAGTCTCTTATTCCACATAACTATCGAATATTTGCGTTACAAGAAATGTTTAACAAATTTTGTCTTGCGTTTGAGCCTCGCAATCGATGATGTCTACGATGCTTCTGCTAACAAATTCTTGCAAAAACCTTGTTTTAAAGAGCTACAGTCGTCAATTATCAGCCTTCCTTCTCATTGATATTAATGTTGAAAATAAATGTTCACGGAAATGAAATTTAAACAAATATGAAATAAATGAACAAATAGATGTGCATATATGGTAATTTTGTACAAGTCATCATTTTCACATTGCACATGTTAAAATGTACGCAACACATGCTCGTTAAATAATACACGATAAACGCAAAATAAATTGCTACCGTCAATCATTTTCTTCCGTTTAACGACGTGTAGGAATCAATCAAAATCAACAGTATTTCAATTGCATTATAATTGCCTTGCTATAATCTCATCAATATGCACTTTGGACATGCAATAAATAAAGAATACTAATAACAGATAACTATGGAAATTTGCAAACTAGCTTACTCAATTTTAGGTATATGCGAGTATATCGTTAGATTTATGTGATCTATGTATATAAACAGAGTCCAAGAAATTCTAAAAGTTCTTACGGTTAATACTTAATATTGATTTGTGTTTAAAACTAATCTATCGAGTTTAGAGTTGTCAAGAATTATTGCAAAGATTTTCTTGCAAGATTATATGTATATATAGATACATAGAAGCTCATCGTCACCTGCGTATTGACTGATTTATCTAAACATTAATTGTTTCACATAAACCTTTGTGATGATGACATGTTATAATGAAAACCAATATTGGGTAATAAAGTAATTTCACAAAATTATATAAAATTCGCTTATTCTTTCTATATATACAGGGTGTTCTGTGATACCCGCCTCACCTCTTATTTTCGAATAGAGCGGACTAGACTGAGTCGAAAAGTCCTCTACCATTTTGCAATTTTCGCAATAGTTAACGAGTTATTAATTATTAAAAATCGCTGTCTTAGCCCGGCCTACCGTCCAATTCAAACGCACGGCGAGATGCGGCCGTCCCGCGATTGGCACACGGCAACGGCTACGTATAATAAACAACTCTCCGCGCGCCTAGCAACGCCAATCGCGGGACGGCCGCATCTCGCCGTGCGTTTAAATTGGGCGGTAAGCCGGACTAAGACAGCGATTTTTAATAATTAATAACTCGTTAACTATTGCGAAAATTGCAAAATGGTAGAGGACTTTTCGACTCAGTCTAGTCTGCTCTATCCGAAAATAAGAGGTGAGGCGGGTATCACAGAACACAGAACTGTATATATACAGGGTGTCTCATTTTAAATGATCCACGCAAATATCTCCAAGAATATGAAAGATGCGGAAAAACGTTTCAAACAAAAGTTGTTTGGTTCGAAGGGGGACATAAGGTGGCGTCTGTGATTGAAGCTAGTCCTGGTCTACAGCGTTTTGCGATTCTCATTAGTTGCGTTACTGTATGTATGTAATTGGGCTTGCGCCCACCGCGCGCCGTCCGGCGCAGTGGTCGTGCGTTAAGGTATGGCGAGTCAGTCGGAAATGTAACGTCGTCATAGCACGCACAAGCGTACCAAATGAAAAACCAAAGTTTTCCACACGTTAAGAAGCAAAGCGTCGGCATTCTTCAAACCCCAACAGGTGGTGCCGTTGACTTGACCTTGGATAGCCATTTTAAGGTCACGTGAAGGTCACCTTCTACTTTTTTAATGGAAGCCCCTATTGTTTATTATACTATCTTATTTTACTAATTAATATAAATAACTTTTGTCCAAAACATGTTTGGATTTGCCTAATACTTTTTGAGATATTCAAGAGAAAATTTGTAACTTTTTCAACGTTCAGTTTATGATATCTCGATAACTATTTGTCGGAGGGAAAAGTAGTACAGGACTTTTTTACTTGATTCGGTCTCAGGAATATGCTGTCGCAATGGTACTCCAATTATTGAAAATTTTTGTATATGTAAATTTTGTGTGTTACAATACACAAAAATTTTCAGTAATTAGAGCAGGTAAATCATTAGGTAAATAGCATTAGGTAAATAAAAAAATGTTTCAGACAAAAATTGTTCATACTAATCAGTAAAATAAGATAGTACGATAAACAATAAGGGGTTCCGTTACAAAAATTGAAGGTGATCTTCACGTGACCTTCAAATGGCTGTCCAAAGTCAAGTCAATGGCACCACCTTATGTCCCTCTTCGAACCAAACAACTTTAGTTTGAAACGTTGTTCCATATCTTTCATATTTTTGGATATATTTGCGTGGATCATTTAAAATGAGACATCCTGTATATATAAAATTAAAGCTCGAATTGAGAAGTCTCTACATGTTCCACCAATAAACAACTCGAAAATAATAACAGATATAAATTTTGAAAAAAAAGAGAATGCAACATAATAATATGTTTTGCTCTGATTGCATTAATATCAAAGGAAATCTAAATCTGCAAAATTGTGTGTCGGTACTTTACTTTAGATTCACTCATTAATTTAATAAAATTTACCCAATCTTGGCAGAGATGCAGTTAGTATGAGTTGTGTTAACGTTTCCTCTGGAAATAATTTTGAACGCATCTAAGAGCATCCTAGGCTTGTGTTAAAAGAAAAGAGGCAGAAGCACGTCCAGGGCCAGCCGAGCTCTCTCTATGGTTAGTCTACACCCACCATTGTTGTCAGTCACAGATACAAATGCAATTTTATTGTTAATCGCACGCTTCCCGATCGAGGAAGTCTCCGATCGTTAGTAAGATTAATTACACGCACACATTCACATTTAACGTGAAAAATCTAACGAAGTAATATATCTCTAAGGACACACGGACGACACATAACGCTTTTCTACGTTAACTGTATAAACACTTACTGAATCTTCTTATAAGATTGCCGGTGAATGATTCAGAGGTAGCGCTCTCCTCGCATCTTAGGTCACAAACGGTCGTCTCGCTCTTGGAAAATTTTAGATTTGGCACCGATAGCAAACGGCCCTCTCTCTTTGCCTGTTTGATCTTGGCGATATATTTCAATCTCGGCGGCTTCAGCTCTTGATCGAGCAAAGACAGGTTCATCGGCCTGACCGCCTCGACTTTACCGCCAACACTGTCATTGCTCATTATCGCTTTCTCGCCCTCAGTCTCCGTCGGGCTTCTAGCCTCCTGGATCTCTCGCTTCCTGTCATCGGTCTGAGAACTCTCGTGTCCAGGAGACTGGCTCTCCGGCGAAAGCGAGGACTCGGAGTCAACACTTTCGACCGGCGACAGCGAACGACTCGTGCTGGCCGCCTCGTTGACATTGCAGTAAAACGTGGAAGACTTTTGACTACCGGTATCGCTGCCTATCTGCTGGCATTGGGGTACTTGCATGAGCCCCGATGACGAGCTCTTTCGGAAACATAAATATGTACATTGTAAAACGATATTTAATTTGCATTAAAAAAGCAGGAATATATAATACTTTCACTAACACGAAAAGCAATTTCTGGCATAAGCGCTCAAGACTAATTTCTCACGCAAGTCTTGCTTTACAATTAAGTGCGACTCCCTGTAATAATTTCAATATCTCTTTTATAAACTTATAAGTTAAACGGGAAAAGAACATTGTCGTTACGTTGTGTTACATTTATAAGGATAAATATTCGTATATCTTTACATGACCCGTTCAAAATTGATTTCCAATTGACCTCGATGTTGACCTTGATCTCCAAAAGGGTCAAGATCATTGACTTTTTCCGCCGTTTATTGTTTATTAACAAGTCAAACAAAAGTCATATAGGTAAATGAAATATAAATTTCTCTGACACCACGTAAGTGGATCTAGTTTTGCATGAAAAGTTGGAAACCCATGTGACATCATACAAATCATTCTATAGGAAACGCGTGGGCAGAGGCAAGGCAGAACCCCTCGCGTTTTTCTCAATATCCACTGTCAGTAATTCCAAAATATACATGCAAAGATTAAAGTTTCGATATTCTTTATCATTTCTTCTTACTAACTGAGCGATGGGAAAATTTAACGACCTTCTTAAAGATCAACATCAAGGTCAGTTGGAAGTTATTTGAGGTAGGCTGCGTAAAGATAATATTTGCCCTTATACGAGTCTAAACAGCGCAGAACTGTATGTATGTTACATATGAGGCTGCGTCGTGAGCTAACGCTAAAAATGTTCTCAAGTATCTCGCGTCGAAACCATAGACTAAGTGGAAACACGGAAAAACTGAAAAGTATGACACGGTATAAAGAACGGTAAATAAAGCACGTATTAAAGAAACATACAAGTACCCCATTTTGAGAAGACACCGAGGACGGTGTAAAAGTATTTTTGATCTTCAGATCAACCTTGCTCAGTTGTCTCTTGAGACTAAATCCCTTCCAACCTTGGCTTTTCTGACACTCGTCGCCGTTAGGAATGCTACCCGCTTTATTGGATTCGTTTGCAGTCTCCTCCGCGCTCGGTTTATCGCTACTGTTTCCAGTCTGACCCTCATTGCGAGGACACTGTTGCTGTTGCTGTGCCTGTTGGACCGAATCCGCTACCCTTGCAACTACCGGCTCGGATTCCATCGCGGATTCTCGCTGGCTCTGATGGATTTAAGATGTTGGGCTTTGCACAATCAGTCAGTTCGTAGATGAAAGAAATGGTATATACATATTGGACCTAATTCTAAGAAACGGACGTATCTTAAGAATATCTATGCAACTCGCGCTCGTGTTCCGTAGGTGTCCCCTAGTGGTGTAGACTAATCCCTTATTATCGTGCCGTCGTACGATCTGCCGTGTTCGTGAAAAACGCGTGAGGTATCCCGGCGGAAATATTTCGTTGAAAACACTGTGGCGTTGATAAAAAGTGAAATAAGAGAGTTATTGAAAAGTTACCGAATGTATCTCACAAAATGAATCGTAAATTTTCCTCATAAAATTCAACAATACCGGTGAAATGTAAGGAAAGTCAAAAGTACGCTGTTGTAAAGCAATTAAAAATTTATGAAACATCGGGTATTATGAAATTTTCCGAATTTAACTAAAATCCATGTTACTTTTTAATAAAGAATTGTTTTCCGCCAAATTTTTATTGGAACGTTGATGAAACGATACTGAAGCGGGGTCAATTGGGAAAGATTTTCAAACAGAACTCTGGCAAAATGCATTATATTTTCAGCAAAATATTTCCACCGGGGTAGAAACATGCCTTCTAAGAAGAAGCACAATATCAAGTTCAAACTGAAAGCTATCGCAAACGTTTGGTCACTTGTCACTTCCCAGGCTCGTGAAAAACTTGAACCGAAGAGTGCAGACAGGATATAGCGATTGTAAATTCGGGGATTTTCTTTTTCTTTAATATATAAATCTGTCTGCCTATTAGATACCTAAGATGCTCGTAGAGACGTAGGCCTTCGATATAGATACATACATATACATTTATATGTATATGTGTGTGTATATAGTCAGTGAAATATCATAATATATCATTGTATAAATGAAGATCATGTCAAACTTGTATTTTGCTGTTTTTACCGATTATTCGCAACGAATAAACTTTCAGGTCGCATGTAGTATACTTTAGAATTATTGGCATTTTTCCCGCTACTGAATCGTTATCGAGAATTGAATTCAAATTCGGAAGAATAAACGGTCAAAACCGGTTGATTACGAATATATGTATTATATATATACGGGTATACATGTCTGTATACGGATATTAAAAGATATCACATTGTTATTACGTCTGATATGATTCATAAATGAAGGAAAAAAATACAGTTAATTATGCTGGCGTCTATACATATGTGAATTATTAATAGTCTCTGCCTAGGATATCTGCAATTTTCTCGACAGGAGAACAATCAGAAATAACAAATATCGACTCTCGGCGACATTATAAATCCCTCTGGAAAGGAAAATCTCTAATTTATGAAAGATTATATAACATGAAGCCAGTTTATACGTGATCGAATTAACACACACATTTCATATCTGTGCAGTGATCAAGTTACAAATTTTATCTACATGTTCGTATAAAGTAAACAAGAAGAAAACCAACAAAATTACACACACAAACAAAAATGTATATAGCATTTCGTTGATTTTATGTGTGTATATACTAACATTAATATATACTAAGCATGCGAATATACAGATGTAAATATTGCCGGAAGGTAACTGGATACTGTCTTCATAAAATAGCTCTGCGAACAGTTGTACCATTTGCTCGATAATAATTCTCACTTGATTTGCTTTAAGCATACATGAAAAGTTAGAGATGATCTTAAACAATGTGCTATATAATGTATGCATTACATCAGTAAAATGACAGTACTAGACGCAGATAAAAGTAGAACAAGCATGTACAAAAATGTTACGTGTCTAATTCTTTAACGGACAGAATTGGATATTACAAGTTTGTATGGTTCAACAAATTTACTGTCACAACTAAGGTTTAGGCGGAAATTAAAATTACTTCTTAGCAGTATTCACAATGTCGTGACCCATAAAATGTACAACGATTTAATTTGGTTCGGTATCAAAGTTTGAATATGACCTGATAAAATCGCGTTGTCAACGTATTTAGTAATTAATTTCATTTTTCTGTTGAAAATGATTGCGTACAATATTAAGGGGATTCTAAAGAGACTGAGAGAAAAAGAAATGTTAAGAATTGCATAAAATTAAAAAACATAAGCTCTTTTTGAATAATGTCGGTATCTGAATGTTTTGAGATTTTTCACCAGTAAGTTTGTTTTCATTTTAATATTATATTTTAATATAACTTATGTCGCGGTAAAAGATTTACCGTGTAATTGTCCATGTATATTTTATAAAGCGAAGAATTTTAAGTCAATGTATTTCAGATGTGATACAAAAGAAAACTATCTATTTTGTGTTAAATTTTCTTGATCCTTTTTAGGTAAATTTCGACTAAATAAATGGTATCAACTTATTACTGCAGTTCTATCACGATTTAAATTTTAGTATTGCAAGAACACGTAGTTGCAATTAAAAAATTTTTGAAGGTACTTTTAATATTCTTTATATATTAAACATAAATTTATTCAGTTCTTAATATTTTTAATAGTCATGTTGATAATTGAAGCAGTATCGAGTCTGTCGTTAGAACCCATGAAGAAATCTCAAAAATTGTCATACTGACTTTATTCATAAAAGACCTTGTGTTTTAAATTTTGTATCATTCTTACAATTTCTGAGTCTTCTTACAATCTCTTTAACTGACAAAGTTTCTAAAATACTTTCAATATTAAAAAAAAACTTCCAGTGAAAATATAAAATATTATTACCTAACGATACGAGAGCATAATAAAATATCCTATTTTATTTGTAACATTTTGTTTCGATATATCTTTAATCACCTGCTAGATATTTCATCAATAATTGTGCAATGCTGACATTTACTGATGTGATGTACATACGTAGCTGAAACATGTTATAATTATTATTACATAAACACGTTTTGTTTGCACTGATAAATTATTGTATACATACACTAAAAATATTTCTTTATAAAAATATTTGCTTTATATTATCTACAATGACGAGTTCCTGCTTTCTAATACTGTACTACCATCAACATTACGTTAAGACAAATATAACACAAATATTTAAATTCTGTTACTAAATAAACATAATAATTAACATAACGGCATAATAAACATCAATTAGTTCAATTGTTGCGAATCAAATCACATGTATAAAGACACCCATATAAAAACATCATTTAGATTTCAGTTCTCCTTAATAACATTTTGACTTTTCAAATATGTTTTCTTAAAAATTTGATATATGATATTTTGTCATCTCAACGACATATCAAATTGACTTGACATAATTTTTTGTCATATAACACATCATACATAGATACATAAATTACATGAACATTGCAAATGTCTCACGTATGATTTATGTTGCACATTTATATTTCTCATGCATTATTATATTATATTAATAATCTCTAATGATGTATGTTATATGATAAAATTTTATGGATAATGTTGTAATTTTTATAAATAATGTAATATAATGTACATATACATATATCGCATATTCGTTTTTTTACAAAGTAACACTTAGTTTCCAAATCAAATTAAATGTAAGTTATAATATCAATATTGTTTTTAATTACATGTATGTCATTTCTATAATCATAATTATAAATATTTTGCATTTACATTTTTTTGTATCGAGTCTATGCACATGCACAGATCCATCAAATGTTTGTATGAGAATCATTACTGTTGTTATTATATGCTAAATAACTAATATCACAAGTAACTAGTTTCTAGTTTCTGCTTTATAATATTGTTTCTACGTTTTCATTTGTCTGAACTTAGTTACTACATTGAACATTTTATTACCTAATTACAGATTAAACAAGAAAATCAAACGTCGTATTATCAATTGCTATCTACTCAAATGATACAATAATATAAATAAGACCAATTTTCTATATTATTTAACAGAGCAACATTGTACAACAAAAAACATAACACAATTTCTTCAACAGAAATATATTTGATCTTACTTGCTTCAATGGTAGACACAAAGTTAGCTAAACATTAAATGCAATATATTGTATATATGTATGTATATATATATATATAAGTACAATAGAAAAAATCGTTATTATTTTATTTATGAGATCACATAAAAAATGAAAAGTAATTAACATTTATTACGTTTCTATCAAAGATGATTTTTTTATTCCAACAAACAATTTTGTATAATAACTATAATATGTTTTATAACATACGCATTCAGATATAAATTTTCTTAAGTATCTCCATCATCTTGCAACAATAATAATGCGCGCGTAAAGAGATAAAAACCCTCCCTCACATTACAATTTATAAAGAAAATCTTTGCCATATGGAAAATGACAAGTTTGACCAATAGTTGTCGATATTAAATCAATCTTTGCTTAAAAAAATTGTTGTAACGGATTTCGTTAAACCTTTCATTGTATTCAACAAGGATTACGTTGTTTAAGTCATCTGGTAAAGAAATGTCAATGTATTCATTGAAAATAAAAATTTCCTCCTACGGTACAACTGCTCGAATTATATCAAATATAAACTGTCAAATTAAACTGTCATGATCATCTTATTTTTCTATGTTATTGTCTAATGTTATCTGATGAAAATATGATAAGTATGAGAGTTTTTAGAACTCTTAAATATTTTGGTATTAATAAATTTATTTAAGCTCATATATATGGAACTAACCTGCATGTAATTTGTTCAATATAACAGACAAAATACTATCTAAAGAATTTTATATGGATTAGAAAAATTAATATTTAACATGTTATTTACATAATTGTAATTTAAATGAAGTTAAAATCCGTACTGCAATATGTTTTCACTTTTTATTCAAATTTAAATGCAAATAATTTACATCTCAAATTTCTAAAATATTTAGAAAAACATTAGTCAACGATAAAAAAGTAACTAAAGAACTAAATGATAAAAATAAAATTAATTTGTATATACTTAAAATTAATTTGTATACTAAGAAATATACGATCTAATAAACTATTTTAAAATCACATCTGTAAGCTATTGTGAATAGCAACGTAACGTTATTAAAATTTGATGGAACACGTTTGGTATCATATTTTTTAATCGTTTAAATATAAATTTTGATTAATTAAAAGATAATTTTGTTATCTTTATTAGAAGTTATTAAGACTTCACACTTCGAGTTTTAATTAAAATATTTTTTACTGTAATCATCATCTTTAATTAAGAAATACATTATTGTTCGCGCACTAGAGTGAGAATGGATACTTTACCTTTTAGTTGCCAATATTTATTTTGTTTTATGATGTATTTAAAGGTGTTTTTAAAAGATTGTATATATATTTTTAGCGAATTATGCTGTAATGTGTGAAATTATATGTAGAAAGAATTTTACAGCGTAATATAGAATCAAATTATATAATAGATTCCTTAGGCAAAAGTAGACTAGTAAGTTGCACAAAAATCTTTAAGTCATTACTATTTATTAAGAAATAATGTACCGCACTGTGTAAATAGAATTTAGATAACTCTTATATACTCACGTAAGCCATATGACTATTATTTTATCAAAAAATATGTTTTGAAGTAGTAATATTTACAAGATCGAAGACAAAGTGTTTCGTATTAATCTATCATAGAATTTTAAGTTACAAACTTTTCTAAATTTGTTCACACAATTGTAGGAATTAATTTATGTGGACATTTTGTAATCATGCAATAAAAAACTAATGTTGGCATTTAGAGAAAGCAGAATACAAAATGTAAAAGTTCTAGGTTCTTCTAGATTAAATTAAGGGTAGGGACTGTGGGAATTTGAAATACACAATTCTAATAGAAGAAGAAGCATATTTTACCTGGTCTGTACTTGGACTTCTTGCCTTGTCTTCGTTTTCTCGTTTCAATTCGTCCTGCCGCTTGGGACTGCGTAAGACGCGCTGGTAAGGATCGCCACTTCCAAGATCACTGGTGTTCAATACGATTAAGGAGATCTTCTGCACGATGTCCACTATCACTAATCCTGACTCATTTCCATAGGCCAATCTACGCATTAAAGCATTAAAATATTCTACTGTATTCTCTTTGCTTAGAATATGTAGTGGCTAATACAATTTCTCATTTCCATAGGCCAATCTACGCATTAAAGCATTAAAATATTCTACTGTACTCTCTTTGCTTAGGATATGTAGTGGCTAATACAATTCTGGACTACACTCACAGGCCGTATGAGGAGTTTAAACTGAGGGACGTTATATTTTCAGGTAATTCTCCGGGAGGTGCTGTTGTCAAACAAATCAGCGTCGCTTGAAAACCGGCCGGTCTTTTCTGCAGTCCCGTCTTGACTTTGAGCGGATGATTGAATTCTATAGTCTTCGTTTCCACGTTTCCCACGATGTTTCCGGTCGCCGGAGATTCACGATCCGGTGAATTGTCCGTTTCTTTTGCCGGGTCTACCGATAGGCATATTTCCAAAGTCTGCAATATTGGAAGATATCGTGTTATTTTTTCTTTCACAAGAAAAATATAAATGCAGTGTGAAAAGAGTACTGCTGTCGTGTAAGTGAGATTTAACGAAGTAAGCTAATATGTGGATAAGAAAAGAATGTCACAGAACATTTTTTCAGTCTAAGTTAATCAGAGCAAAAACTTAGTAGCAAAAGAGTATCGCATTAATAAGCAAGTAGATGACTTACCACTACTTCAGACATACTTTCAACCTTCTTAAATTTAAACAACACGACATGCTTGCCGCTTCCCGCGATAGCTAATTTGCGACTTTCAGGACAAAGGAAGATAAGTTGAATCGCTAACGGATCTTCCTCAGAATCTATACTACGTGTTTTAGTTTTTTCGAAAAGTTTCGCCGTCTTCAGTTTGTAAAGGACTTGTAATGTTCCCGCTGAAGCATCCCAAAACTTTATACTGCCATCGGCATGCCTGCGAACATACGTGTAGCTATAGAAATTTAAGCAACTTATTGATTATCGTCTAGCTTGCGATAGACCGCAACATGTATGTGCATAGTAGCATGACTGTGCACGGTAACATGTATGATATAATCACGCGTATATTTTGATATCATGGATGTCATCGTGCGATTAAAAAGATAAATTGCTTATTTATCGACAAAGTTGCATTTATGATCATAATATTACCCAGTGAGGATAATCTCGTTATAACTGCTAGAACTGGAGCTCCACTCGCCACCGGAGATAGGCCATTCCTTCTCGCTAAAGCCGGTTTTCTTCTGCGACTTAGAGCCAACAGAATAAAATGCAGGTACTAAATCCGAAGGGCAATCCGCGAAATATGCACAACATGTCACGGGAGATTCGTGAATATCCATAGGATATGGATTCTCAAAACAAGGGAATCCAGTAGTTAACAAATCTATCACAACCAGGTCATTTTGTAGTAAAACAACAACAGCGTAAGGATCTTGAAAATCTGAAAAAATTAACAACGACAATGATTACTGCTGCCAAATCATCGATATCAAATAAAATCGGTGACATACGTATGATATACATGATTGATAAATTTTTCATCATTTATATGGCAGTCGACAGAGCATGACAATTTTTTATAGAGAAAAATTAATATTTTGTAACCAATGAAAAGATAATAATTAGATCGGAATGTTTGTTCATAACACAAAATTTATCTTTTCTTTTTCACTTATATAGTGGTTGCATTTGCTTCATTAATTAACTATTAATATATATACATACATATACAGGGTGTCCGAAAAATCGCCTACTCCACTTCGGGAGGTGATTCAGGACCCAAAAACAAGCAAAAAAGTTCATACATAGGTCCGGAAATGAGCCGTTCCCGAGTTATAGGCACTTTTATGTTTAAAAATCGTAAATTTTTATTTTCAATTTTTTTTAATCACAATTTTTTTAGTCTTTTTCAACAATACACCAACAACTGATTTTGAATAGCCGTGAAAACAACTGATTTTGAATAGTCGCGAAAACAACTGACTTTAAGTAGTCGTGAAAACAACTGATTTCCAGTAGCCGTGAAAACAACTGATTTTGAATAGTCGCGAAAACAACTGACTTTAAGTAGTCGTGAAAACAACTGATTTCTTTTAAAAATAATGTAATCGTATTTACAAATATTGAAAAATTGAAAAAACTAAAAAAATTAAAATTAACAAAATTAAAAATACAAATTTAAAAATAAAAATTTTTAATTTTAGAAATAATTAAGAAAGAGGGATGCCAAGCGGATTCTAAATTACGATTTTTGAACATAAAAGTGGCTATAACTCGGAAACGGCTCATTTCCGGACCTATGTTTGTATGAACTTTTTTGCTTGTTTTTGGGTCCCAAATCACCTCCCGAGGTGAAGTAGGCGATTTTTCGGACACCCTGTATATACATACACCCTGTATGTTCGACATCTTATGCATTCTACTCAAATATTTCCTCGGCTTTTGCGTCAATTCGTGCCATGGTTCGTTATGCTAACAGTTACACTGAACAATCTTGAAGTGCTCGCCGACGGCCCAACGGAACATGTGAGAAAAATACCCGGTCATTTTGCCGAAGACGACCCGAATTGAATCGAAACGTTCGACACTTTTCTATTTATCCAACCTACATATATTTCTATTTACCAGAAGCGTGTTGCACTTTACCCTAATTATTATCTTTTCATTCAACTTGGAGAGTTTACAGTCAATTTTTCTAATTTTGAAATTAATATTTTACTTTTAAAAACACTAAAAAGCATGTTTTACTGTACCACTAGCCCATGGACTATCACATAGCGTTATAAAGTCTACAACATTATGTTCCATTTCGAGCACCGTAGTAGTTTTTCCATGTATCACCGTAATGCTGGGTGTTCTCCCAGTGGTGTCCTGTGCCAATCCACCAGAGAATATCACATATGCTTCTCTGAAAGTTTACGTTTAGGTCATACGTTATTTAAGATTAACGGATGGTTATTGCTTGGAACTATAATTTGTTAGACAAAAGATGTATCATTTTACCCCGATCTCGACAATTTCCATTCTACTTTCTGAATCGCTTTGCAACGTTCAGGTTCTCCGTCTTTGGTAAATTTCGCTGTAAAAGAGATTAGCGTAAAAAATGTGTATGCCATAATAAAAAATGGAATCAATCGAATCTCACCATGTGGAAATGTTATAGTTGGCTTTAATTGTCGAAGAGTCCAAGTAGAAAGAGAACCGTCCGAGTGACTGCACATAAATTGTTTACCTTCGTGATGCCATGTTATCGATGTTAACAGATCATCCGTTTGACATCTATAGTCAGCGCTCTTGGTTTTCAAGTCCCACAGAACGATTTGCCCAGTCGAATATCCTATAAGCATCTGAAAGCAAAGCATCCGCGCGTGTAAGAGAAGTGCGCAAATACCATTGTTAAAACATACTTCCTTGAAACAAGACACGTGGATATATATGTATGCATATATATAAGTGACAAAATGTATCCTTTTACAATATGTCTCGAGTCTGTTATCACGACAATACATTTAGCCATATACATATAGAGAGATCAGGTATAAAAATGTAGTGAATAATGGTTTCTACAAGATTTGTGCGAAGGGCACAGATAGAACTTAGAGATACGATGATTGCGCATGAATTATCGATTGCCGAAGAAGAACGAATGAGATGGACAAGGGTTTTTTTTCTTTTGTAATCGAAGACAAGTTAAAAAAAAGGCTGACCAGGTTGTATGTTACACGCGATCGAACAGAATGTACGCGATATGCAAAACCTAACAATTATGCAATTTTGATTTTGACATTAATAAATGCGAAACTAATACACTTCACACACTTGGAAAAGACTTGAACTTCTTAAATTTCGATTACTTCAATTTTTAGCATTAAAAATTGCAATTTCACAGTTCTTAATAGTATTTTTCTCAGCGTGATCACTGTCTAGAGGTAAAAACGTTTCGCTACACTTCGAAAGCCAGGAAAATAGACACATAATTGACGGACATTCAGTGAAATTTGGCTTGCACGTCCTCGGTAATTCGTTTATCTCGATTTTAAAAAGCACATTTTTATAACAAATAATGTTTCTTTCGACGTAAACAAACTAGTATACGGTTTCCTATACCGTTGCAATCGAAAAAAAAACCAAACAGCATATGACATACGATATCACATATATAATATCAAATTTAAACTATCAATATCAAAGACACAGAGAGTTGCAAACGCGCAACCCGAAACACACAAACACTCATCACACACTCATAACTGCACAATTAGTAGGTAAATATATTGATACTCGTGTAAGGTCCGTAACAGAAACTCCGTTGTCAGAACTAACAGTGAGCTCGTATAAGAAGATTAGTGTAAAAAGATGAGTGATCATGACCGCGGTATGGCTTTCGTCGATTTGTAAGCCCGATCTAAAATCACTTTGGAATATCGAACAATGTGGATATTTTCTTTTCTTTTTTTTCCCCCCTCCTTAATGAAATAGGCGTTTTCGATTCTCCTTCGTTTGTCATATCACAACAGTGACGGCATGCACGCATGCACACATACAACATGCAAGCACACACTTGCATTTATTGGCTTGGATCTAGACAAATAATCCAAGTTTGTTAAGACAAAAAAAAAGTATTTCAAGTAAACGCCACAAATGTTCCTTTTTCTCTCTCACGCGTCACGATAAAATTGAATAATGTCAATCATGAAATTATGATAAGGATGGAATAATAATGCAAAAAAAAACGTACTCAAAAAACGCGCGTACCTTGCTCAAATCTAAAGGATTATCACTCAAGTGTACTACAGCACCAGGGTGAGTCTTTCTAGATCTGAAAAATATATATATATGTATATACACACACATGTATAAGAGAACCATTATTTTTGTGTAATTGTGAAACATATATAAAAACTCGTGTGCGGTCTTTAACCGGTGTTTCATTGCAGTTTTTATCATCGTTGTGCTTCAATTACGTTATTATTTAACGTGCCGATAATATCTTTGTATATTAATTGGCACTATGCTACATTTTCATGAGACACGATAAGGAAATCGTGATTGATTAGCATATAAAGAATAAATAACAAAGCATTCTTAAATAGTTATAATAAACAGTTAAAGATTCCGTAGCGTATTAATGCCGGTAAACCAAACGTAGAGGTATTAATAGGCTTCGTCGATAGTAATGAATTTTTGGAAAGTAGAAGGAAGATCGCAGGGACTCGCTTACATAAGTTATTTTAAGTGCTCCGCTATTGGGAATTATTCGTAACCAATTATTCATCAACACCCGAGATACAGCCACGTTGCCCGTGATTTATTTACTAATCAGATTGGTATTCTGTGACGCAAGTCCTAGCCCGAGGTGGGAAAGGTATCTACGATATGTTGAAAAGAAGAATATGCCAATACTCCTTCGACTGCCGACAAGCTTTCTCAACTAATTTCTTCGACCGATTATGTAACTGACAAACTTTTCTCCACACATCGTGGATACATTTAAGTCCCAATGGTGGTACACTTATCACGAACACCCCTTATACCATCACTGCCACATTCACATCTATGTGTCTACAGTCAGGCACAATTAAGAACTACAGGTCTTTGACGTCTGTTCCTTCCAGTGTTAACAATATATATATATATATATGTATATGTATGTATACATATATACAGGGTGTTATGCAATACCCGCCTCACCTCTTATTTACGGATAGAGCGGACTAGACTGAGTCTAAAAGTCCTCTACCATTTTGCAATTTTCGCAATAGTTGACGAGCTATTAATTATTAAGACTCGCTGTCTTAGCCCGGCCTACCGTCCAATTCAAGCTATAATAAACAACTCCCCGCGCGCCTAGCCATACCAATCGCGGGACAGCCGCATTTCGCCGGGAGCTCGAATTGGACGGTAGGCCGGGCTAAGACAGCGATTTTTAATAATTAATATCTCGATAACTATTGCGAAAATTGCAAAATGGTAAAGAACTTTTCGACTCAGTCTAGTCCGCTCTATCCATAAATAAGAGGTGAGGCGGGTAGTGCATAACACCCTGTATATATTATACATATATTTATTGTATAATATTAGAATTTTTTGGAGACAATCTCCGCACGAACGTTGTCCGTTCGCCGTAATTTAATTGACCCATACATTCACACATTTAGGACACTTGAACGACACGTCCGTTACAGGAATTAGTGGAAACGGGATCTGAAAATACATATACTTTTCACTCATCTTTTTGAAAAATATCTTTAAGAGATTCTCTCTCGCGAGAGAGAAAGAGAGAGAGAGAGACACCAAGTGCTAATGTGTTATATAAAAGTCTTGTAAGGATTACACAAATAGCTAATGTATATCCCTTTTAATTTGAAACATTCTCTAAGCCACTACAATTCCTTACTTAATGTTGCAAAACAGATTTATTGTCATAGTAAATTTTAAAAGCGCGAGTGAGACATACATTTTACGGTCGATTAATCTGCAATAAACCACGATGGGCAAGAAATTACCATGGTTTGAAGAACGTTTCTCACATTAAAAGAAACATATCCGCAAATACACCCGATATATTTTCCGCGTTCACATACTTAAAAGTACCAATAATCTGTAAAACGAATCTTTTATCGTACGCTACATTGCCATTTTTGTTTTTTTGCAAATGGTCTATCCGTTGCTCTCAGAAAGTTTCATCAAAGCAATGCCTAATTAATCAAGCGCTAAAAATTCCGAGGAAATTCACAACACACTATCGCCCCTGAAGATCCTATCGCTGAAATCAATCGTGTTAAGTGGCAGTTCCCTTCGAAATACTTACCTTAATGCAACGAAAATGTTAAACGTGTTCGTATGCTCGCAATTGATGAGATTAGAAATTACGAGGACTGGCATTAGAATTTATTAAGCTCTGCATGCGTTTATCAACGATTGCGTTTATTTCAAACGTGCCAGCGTTCGCATAGACGGCACCGACGTATCCTCGCTTGTTAAGATTATCAAATATCTCCATATAGCAAAAGTATGTATACTTACACTTCGATAGCCTTGTTCCAATTAATTACATATCCAGACAGAACGAACGTTTCAATGTGCAGTATGTGAATGTTCCCTCGGTCAGTCCCGATGTACAACCATTTACTTTGCAGCGGTAAATGAATGCAAGTGATTCTGTCGAAAACGAATATTGCATGGTCCAATTAACACTCGCTGCCGAAAAGTTCAAGTGGTTTATGTTGGCGCTTGCGAAATGAAACAAAGTCCCACAAGTGTATCGCATTTCGCTCGCGCAACGTATAATTGGAAGCGTAGCCGCAGTTAGGCGTGCACTATGCACGAATATCACGTATATCGCAAAAGACGAGGCTCAAAGCTTAAAATCGGGGAAGAGCAACATTAGCCGCGCCGCGCGCTAATGACTGACCTGTCTCTTTGAAACTTGAGGCTGTGCACCACCTGCGGTATCTTCTGGCGGAAGTTCCATAAATGCAAGGTGTCGTCCTCCGTGGCGGATACCAGCGCTCCTTCGTTGATCAGGAACTGCAGTCGCAGCACGGCCACACATTCCTCGTGTTTAACATGTGCATCTACACCCGGTCTACCCAAACTGTGTTTCCCGTGATATCGGATTTAAGAAAAATACAGAATTGTATCGACTGCGAGCCACGGCCGCAGTCATAAAACAACGTCGTATTGTAAAGCAATAATCAATAATTCCGCATATTATCCGCGAGAGAACATTTTTCTCCGTACTTTCATCGCGTGGTTATCATTAATTCTCCAACTGAACACGATTCTTCGGCATCTTTTTAGTGAACAGGGGTTTGTCGCACTCGACGCTATTTTCCTCGCTTAAAATAGTAATGGCCAAGTCAGAGTGAACTAAAAGGGTCAGAATAAGATAAAGAACCTTAACTGAGTGGCCAGAGCCGTTATGTCGCATTTAACCCTTTGAAACACTTTTATTTAGACAATTAAGAAATTCATAAGGCTCTGATATGAAATCGCAGTCAAAGGAATAACGGAATAAGAGCCACGACAGGATGTTAAATGTCCAAATAACTTCAATTAAAAAATTTTTAGACAGAGGAAAGTCTCCTATTACGAGATAGGCTTCTAATATGAGATAGCAGGAATTTCTGTTAAATTAATAGGCGTTATTTGTTGATTTCACCATGAATTTATTGCTCTTGGGCCGAAATCTGTTTAGTGAAAAATTCATTCTTAAATTGGGTAATTGTTGCGAAAAAAGATTTGTGTTAGATAACATAATGTGGACGCTCGTTAAATGTATAAACAAATGATCAAATTTTAAAGGCCAAAAATAACGAGCTACTATAAAGGATGTTAGAAAAATCAGTTATATTCTTAATAATTTACATAGATGAACGTTTCGACTTTACTTAGTTTTTTCAACACCCTAATTCATTAATTACGATACATTAAATTTAAAAGGTACGTGACTGGTCATTTTAATTATTATTAAATGTCGTTGGAATACGTTAAAAAATAGTAAAATAAAAATTACATGTATATATGTATAAATGCCAACATCACAAACAAGGAGAAAAAACGATTTCCATATTGGACACATGTAATTATCGTCAAACAACTCATCGTTATGACACAATCTAAGAACGGACAGAGGCCAGTGGCAATAGTTAGACAAAATCAGTTGGTACTAAAGATGTTTTTTCTTTTTCTTAGGAGATATATTTCTTTGGTTCCAGTGAAAGATATGTTCTTCCATAGGTCCAAACGTGGTCAATTTTTTGTGGTTGGTTTGTTTCTTGTTCTGAATTTAACGTCATTTAATTAGAATCGATTTTTGTTGTAATTATTAGAAAACTTTTTGTTATAGAATTTGGATATTGAAAACCTGCTATCTTATATTAGAAACCAATCTCTTGATAGAGTACTTTTCTCCACTAGTTCCTCGAAATTTTGTATGCGATAAGAGGTCGTTGATTATAAATGTGGAGTCGGATTTAAAAAATTTTGAAAATGAAAAATGACAGACATTCGACATGGAGCACTGAAAATACAAAATTTGTATTCGAAATCAGCGACTCAAAATACCATTGAAACGTCAAACAAGATAAAGAACCCTAACTGAGGGTCAGAGCCGTTATATCGCATTTAACCCTTTAAAACATTTTTATTTAGATACTAATTCCTCGGAATTTGGTACACAATAGGAGTTCGTTAATTATAAATACGGAGTGGGATTTAAAAAATTTTGAAAATGAAAATGGCAGATATTCGATATGGAGCACTGAAAATACGAAATTTGTACTCGAAATCGGCGATTCAAAATACCATTAAACAAGTCGGAGTAAAAATATCTTTTTTAATTAAAAATGTGTTAAATACGATATACTGTGCTTCAAAGGATTAAAAGACTAGTGCATCGCATAGATAAATATATTTGATTATTAATTAGACACTAATAATCAGAACTAATGTACCATCATTGCATGAACAAGGCGTGTCTACTCATTAAAAAAAAGCTTCCTTGAGAATTTTCTGATTTTCCAAGTATCTTCATTGAAACTTCTAACAAAGTTGTAGTAATTTACGATGCTTTAAATTCAATTCAATTATCGTATAAAATTATTCTTATCTCGTTTACAGTGTGCATTCTCTCACACAATCTTGAAGACAAAATTAAAACTTATAACAATTTTTAAATAAGTAAAACGAATTGTACAAAATAATATTTTATATCACTTAAAATTTGGTTTATTTCCAAAGAATACGGGAAAATAAAATTTAAAGATATAGAATGACGTTTGGACATTAGTTATCGCTCCCAAAATGCATTTATAAGTTTTCCGTCACTCTATTACTAACTTGGTTGTTTGGCCAACTTTCGATTGCTCGCGAAATATAAAATGAAAAGACAATTTCAACAAAAGTTTCCCTGATATAATTCACTGATTTTCCAGACAAGAAAGAATTCCCTGAGAATTCCAGGTCTTCCAGGTCTTTTCGGTAGTAGATACCCCGATAAATAAAAAAAGTCGAGCATATTACATTTTATTCCGCACGAAGGGGAAACCGCTGACCAAAATCTTGTACACCAATGCCCGTTAATGCCCAGTGGGCATTACTTTATCTTATTATCTTATTTTATCTTATTTTATCTTTATAATGCAGCCCCCAGCAAGGCCTAATGCCAAAAAAATGCTTAGTAATGCCGCAAATCTGTACACCACAATGTCCTCAGCGGTTTCCCCCTTGATTCCGCAGCAAATATGGCATCGCTCAAATGAATCAATCAAACGATTAAATTGTATTATTGGCGGGCTAGAAAAATTAATCTGGCTTGCGGGCCGCTACTTGGCCGTCACTGCCTTAAAGAATTAAAACAAAATCTGAAAATGAATATGACATCGTCATATCCACTTTGATGAAAATTACTTGTTCACTGTTCTATTTTTAATAAATTCTCAATACAGTTACGAGCAGGACATATGCCTATATGTTACTTTGACTCGGATGCCGTAGACCCACGTGTTCAGACGGAGGGTTGAAACCCCATGTATAAAATGACATAAGGGTAAAAAAGTCGAGCGAGAACATTGTTGGGAAATTCTCGTCAACATCGATTTGTCAACTTCCGCGTCCGGAGAAAAGCAGGAGTCCCTTAAATACGCGAGATCCGTAAAGACTCTCGCCTACATTGAAATTGACAGCGCGGGGCTGGAGCTCTGCCGTTTATAGTTCATCGCGATAGTTAGTGATGCCCACCGAACTGCGATGAGCATCTATTACTACACTTTGGCCGCGATAGATCAATGAAATCACTGACGTGTAAAAACACACGGTCGAAGAACCACGGACCGACAGAACCGTGTAATTAATCCGCTAAAATTGTACAAACCCACCGGCACCCGAAATTTTTTACGGCGGTCACGAGAAACGAGCGGGCGCGGTTTTTACTTCCGCCAATACCGGCATTCTCGACAAGCGTTTTTGTTACGGGAACAGAATTACACGAGTGCATTTACCAATGATATTGGAGCAGTTGAGAGAAGGTTTTTGACGGTCACATCCGACGGTCGCGCAGCGGCAAACGCATAATGCATAAAAGCAAAGTTCGAAAAACGAGAGAGAGAGAGAGAGAGAGCGAGAAAAAAAAGCGAAAATTATATCATATTGTATGCAGTACCAATGGACCGATCGATCGTTCGCGTCTTTTTAGCCGTCACGCACGAAGAAAGGGACAGTTTAATTGCGGGCTGCCATCCCGTATTAACGATAACGTCGAAGGATACATCCTGAGGGATCCTGATTTAGTGCCAATAGCTAGAAGCCTTTGAACTGGATCGAATGCCAACGCAGTCGGCTGATGCGGGAAGCCGTGTCTGAATGTCTGTAACATAAAAGGTGTCCGTTTCATGCCATCTTTCCTGCTTTAGCCGCCTGGGAGAGACTATTCATCCCTGCAAGGGGTTGCGGAGATATATCGGGCGAAAGGGAGGGGGAGAGAGGGGGACAGTATTGTTTCGCAGACTTTCTATTGTGTACAACCTCGTGGACAACCCGGCTACTGTTAATTCTATACCTTTGTTGCTCGTAAATGTTAGCGATACGCATTGTTCGTCGAGGGTATTTAAAGTCGGCCTCATCGGGCATTATCCCCGACTTTCCATATAAAGAGCCACTCCCCCGTCATTAGAACAGACTGATACCGGGAGGATAGGAACAAAGTGCACTTCCTCTATCCCCGAACTTATAAAAGAAGCTTCCGCCGTGCTCAAAAAGTAGGTATTTTTATGAGCGAAACTTACGTCGCGTAAAGTAACGCGACACGCCACGTACGGGCCGCGCACGCCGATATAGAACGTCACGGCTTACGCCAGTTCTCCGCTCGAGAAACTTGGCTTAAAACTTCCCTTCGCTTCGCTTTGCCTCCCTCGCGAAGCGAGAGATGAGGTAATCTTATGAAATGGAAGAGATGCGCTTCGCCGCACGCTTTTCGCGGAGCTTGCGACCGTCCGCGTCTGAAAGAAGAAAAAGGGAGAGAAAAACCCGACTCCTCCAAAAGACCTGCGTCGCGCCTGACAGATCGGCGTGATGGGCGATCACGTGGGCGAGCCGGGGAAAATCTGATTCGGGATTAACCGCGAACGCGACCGATGGAGGAGGAGCAGGAGGAGCAGGAGGAGCAGGAGGAGGAGGAGGAGGAGGAGGAGACGGAGAGTATACACGGGCAACGTGCACGCTCTCGAGGTCGATTTTGGTGCAGCGGGACTCCGTCGAGCGCTTCTCGCTGCTGCTGGTGAAAACTGCCCTCGTTCCATTTCACCGGCAACCGCCGCCGGCCCGGTGGGCGCCGGGGAAGTGGGTTAAAATACGGCGATACGAAAGTTACGATCGCCCAGGAGGAACCACCTACCCCCGCTCTTCCCCACCTCCTCACGGGTTCTCCGATTTCACTGATGTCCCCGAGGGAGGCTCGCCCACGCGCAATTTCCGCCGGGTCGGCTCGCCGCACAGTGGGAAAAAAGGCTCTCTTTTTGGACAAAAGTCTACCGACAGTGCAATTCTCAACCGATTTCAAAAATTTTTTTTTTAAATTGTTCGTAATGAAATGCTCTATAACGTAGTACTGCGCCTTTTTTTAAACAAACTTTGT